ACATGCATTGAAATATAATTTGTTAAAGGTAGGTAGAGAAACACAAATAGTTACAACTTCCATGTTGAAGTCATGCGATTCACTAATAAGACATGAAGGAAAAATACTTTTTACATATATGCACACACCACCACCACGATGACTAACACGATCACATCTGTAAAAAACTCTGAAATTCGCTATTTTAAGGCTGTGACACCTTTGCGCATGGGTTTCAGTAACCAACGCAATATCGACATCGTGATTGTATAAAAATTGTTGAAACTCTAAAAACTTGGCTTTAAGTCCATTAGCATTCCAGATGCACAGTTTGATAGGCGACACACTTAAGGGCCGGTTGTCCATTATTTTGTAGCACTTTTGGCACGATCTGCAGTGGTATTTTTGTCAGCGGTGAGCTGCTGGAATAGTAGGGGTAGTCCGCATTCCTTGATGAGTGCGACTTGGGTTAAAAATTCAAATATTACTAATATATAGGGTTAGAAACATTACACGAAGTGAAAGAAAAACAAAGAGGCATATTGGTACTTTTTATAGAAAAGAGAGGGAGAAGAAGAAAGGGGGAAAAACTTCACAAATCCCTTGAACTGTTTATAAAAAGGTGAAATGTTCTACTCTCGTTGATAATTTTGTTATGAGCTCTATTAATTTGACCAGATGCAAAAGATGGTAACTATGATAGCAATGCAGAAATAGAAGCTATAGAAGAGTCGGTAGACTTGTTTGGATTCCCTGCCCCATAATGTAATTTTTTTTGTCTAATGGGACTGTAGTTTTTGAAAATGTAGACTGGCAATCTAATCTTGTAGAGGCTCATCCTAGAATATCTAGAGAAAATACAACTTGCGTTTTTATCATCAGTGATGCTGGTACATGGCCTTCCAATTTAACTTGTAGAATTATTGAGTTTTAATCAAGGCAGAACTTGTATCTGTAAGTGTAAATTTTAAATTTCCCACTTGTGAAACTGATGAACGGTTCAGTTATTCTTCAGTTATTACCATTAATAATGCAATGTGTAAACATGCAGGATGGTAAATGAGCTATTTCTGAGAATCTTGTAGGATTTTACCCGATTAAGGATACTACAAGAGAAGGTTTATTAAATTTTTTATTAGATGATGTACTTTCTAGCTTAAATCTAGATGTTCAAAATATTCAGGAGCAAGGATACGATAATGGCACCAACATGCATGGAAAAAATATAGGTCTTCAAAAAAGAGTATTGGATGTTAATGTAACCCGAAGGGCACATTTTTTGTATTTAGTTGTAAATGACACTTAAATCGAATGGAAAGGTTGCACTTTTTTTATATCATACAAGAATTCTGCAATTTTTTTCCATCTGTACATTAAAGTACAAATGGTGTTTTAAAGAAAGCAATCCAAATTTTTCATTAAAGTCAGTGAGTAACACTTGGTGGGAAAATTGAATCAATGCATTTCAACCATAATATATAATAAATATACTTTCTGAAAATATAAAAAATATTATATTTTCTGCTCTGAGTTAACTTTCTTAGAAGCAAAAGATCATGTAGTTAGATCTAAAGCTAAGTGTTTAGCATAACATTTTTTCATATAAATTTATATCTTCACTAATAATTTGGCATGATTTCCTAGAAAGAATAGATATTGTTTAAAAAATGTTGCAGCAGTCCATCATAAAGTTAGCAGAATGTGCCAAAACAGTAAGAAATTTAAGAACATGTTTAATTTCCAAAAGAAATGATGAAAGTTTTACTACATTTATCAATCTGTTTTAGCTCAGGAGATTGAAGTAGAGTCTGAATTGCATATAATTCATAAAAGGAAAAAAAAAAAAAAAAAAAAAAAAAAAAATCCTCGTATGTTTCATTATGAGTCACATGACAAATATGTTAAAGACTCTAAACAAAATTTTAAAGTTAATTTTTACTTTCAAATATTAGATGCTGCCGTCAATTCAGTAGGTGAACATTTCGATTTGTTGGAAAGCTGTTTCTCATTATTTAGTTTTTACTAACGTTTCATTCTGAAAATAATAATAATTTGAAAAAAAAAAAAGTTTAATGGATTTAGACATTAAATTTCAAATAAATAAAGATGAAAATATAGCAAGGTACTTAGATAGTATAGAACTGCACAATGAAACATTATCTTTTCAAGATCTATTTCTCAACATTTGCTGGTTAAAGCTATTAGAAATTTTGAATTTTATATCAGGTCAGGATTTAACACCATATCTCTCCAATTTATCTGCAGTACTTAGAATTTGACTATACTAATTAGTGTTACTTCAGTTGAAAGAAGTTTTGTGAAATTAAGTTTGATTTAAAAATGATTTAAGGTTCAACATTCTCATAAGAAAGACTTACTAATTTGGCTGTTATTTTTATTGAAAGTTATATGTGTGAACATTTCAAATATTATAGAATAATTTGCCTGGAAGAATGTCAAAAACCTGTCCCTCGGCTTAAGTATATGTGGGAATTTGTTTATTCAGAACTCTGATAAGTCTTAAGCATATGCAAGAAATAGGCATAAGTATAATAAATAACTAAGCTAATACAATTCAGGTTTAATTGTCTCAATGCGCAATAGCAGCAAGATAAAATTTAACGGAACTACTTGTCGTTAGTCACCAAGCTCATGATGCATAGTCAAATATGTATAGTGAAGGATAGCTAAATTTGTTTACGATAGCTGCTAATTTTAAAGGTTTTCGGATATTGCAAAACAAAGGTAAAATTTTCCAATTTAACAGATTTTGTAAAGAAATGTGGAGAAGCAGTAATAAATGAAGATGATATAAAAGAAGTTTTTATATCATGAATGGCGAAATCTGTAGTATGGTTCTAGATCCAGAAAATACCGCTACGGATAGGGAAGAAAGTGACAGAGAAGTTGCTGAAACTGAGAAATTTTCGATTGACAGGTTCGTCGGAATTCTTGAAACAGCAGTCACAGGACTTCAGCAATGTGACTGAACAAGAGATTATGTCTGTCTACAGAATTAAAGAGAAAGTATTAGTGCAAAAAACAAAGCAACGTAAAACAACATGCATTGAAAGAAATGTTTAATAAGGTAAACAAATACATATTAAGCTTTCTTCTTGTAAATTTTGATATCCTTTAAATCATAAATGCTTCATTATTTCATAAATCGTGATTTCATATTTTTAATTTTATAACTTCTACGTGCCATCTTATTAGATTTAAACTGATGGTCTATTATCTGGAAAAATCCCAAATTCAGAATGGCCGAAGTCCTGACGAGTCAGAATTTCAGACTTTGTATTGTACTTATTTAAAGGTTAGTGTTAGACATATATCGATTTGGCTGATGAGAGGGTTAAATTTATCAAAGGTTTCAATATCCTTATTGGTTTGTTTCTTTTAAAGAAATAAAATTGTGACAGTTACCTGTAGTTTATCCATGACTGCTTTTCATTTGTTATGTTCTTACTGTAACCTTGCCCTTTGGAAATAAAATTATTCATGTAGTTTTTGCCTCTCAATTTTGAGACAGTAAAAATTAGCAAAAAAGGAGGAAAATACACAAAGAAATATGGTAATACCTGAATAATGCATTGTCAGTGGTATTTATTTTGAAACAAACAAGTGATAGTTTCAAATAATAGAGAACAAAACTGCAAAAACTTTAATAGAGGTAATGCCAGATATGTGGCTTAAAATTGTATTTCTAGTTTGTTTGAAAGAATATTTAACGCAACAGTAGATAACACCAGCCAAAATGTCATTAGAAATATTGGTACTTTTCCGTTTTGCCGGCGCAAATCTCGCCAAGCAGACTTTGTTGGCGACAACATACATTATACACACAAAAAATATTAAAAAAATGTTAGTCCTAAGAATTCTTTTTTTGAAGGCATAAACATTTTAATATCGCTTAAAATTTTATAAAAAGCCAATAAATAAAGACAATAAATTTATAAAAAGACATTAATTTAAGAATTAATGTCTTTTTATAAAACATCCTGTTTCCCCGGTTCATATCACGTGACCCCAAGCGATCTCATCTCACGTATACTACTCTACAAAAATATAATGCTCTCAGTAATTATCTACATTAATTTCAAGTTAAATCTTAATTTGGAACACAAGTTTAAATGTAAGAAATACTTCAATTCGTACGAATAGCTTACTCAGAAATTATGTAAAACTGCAGTGCTTTACTTCGCTAATGCATTCTCATTAGAATTGATGAATTTAACCCTTGACTTTACTTTCTTTTCTATATTTTCGGCTTCGGGTAAGCGCTGTGATTGCATCCTAATTGATTTAATTACCGAAAATGGCCTTAGACATAAAACTGAACTATTCGAATGAGGCGTAAAAGGTTACCAGCGAGAATATTCCGTTTTGCATCGGTTGTACCATTATTGGCGACTTTATCGCTTGTGCCGGCAAAACGGAAAAGTACCGAAATATTTTATGACCCAACATATTGTGAAGAAAATATGATCAGGTAATCAATGACTATTCAGCAGTTCTATTAATAATACTGAATAGTTGCGACTTCTTTGCAATAACAATGTATGGAATCTCATGATGAGTACTGTAGGGCGGATTTGTGTAATATTTGGTACTTTTCTGTTATCAGGATTGAATTCAGAAATGTATGTATGTAATGTTTGTATTTATCTATGTACGTGTGGGTATATACACGTATACAAATGAACGTACATATGTACATAGATGCACACACATACATACATTTCTTAATGGGATCCCAATAACAGATCCAATAAGATTTAATAGTTAATATGATTTAACAAGATTTAACAGTAAGATTTAATAGTTAATATGTGTAGAATATAGAATAGTATAATCGTTCTTTTGTAACGTAATAAGATACGAGGTTTTAAGAATTAGTTGCTTTAAATGGTGATTTTTTTTATTTTGATGTTGCATGTAGACATGGAGTAAAATCTCATTATTCAGTTGTATTGACTTTCAAGTCTAAACTTTTTATCTGAAATTTCATTTTTTTATAGGTTAAAAATGACTGAACCACCTATTTGCGTAAATGTCTATTCTACTAGTGCTACATCAGATAATTTAAGTAGGCATGACATGCTGAATTGGGTAAATGAATGTCTTCAAAGCGGTTACTCAAAAATTGAAGAACTTTGCACAGGTAAGTGGCAGGGCATCTGAATTATGACTATGTATGTAATTATTTTGTAGTATTACATTTTGAGTATGAAATATGAGAACTTTTTAACTAAGCATTTATAATGATTCATAAATTGCGTATAGTAGAACTTAATGAATATTTATGAAAAATATTACTTTTAATTTTGTGCTTCATAAAAAAGAAATAAATTGTTTAGTTTGTAAGAGATTAGTGACAGACCTACAGCTATTGAGACATGGGGCTGAAATTTTGTTAATTTGAATAAGGGTCTTATTGGATTGATCACTATATAAAATATTAATGCAAGTATATAATATGACATTTATTTAATGAAAATTAAATACTGGGTTAGTTAAATTAAATTTTCAGTACTCAAAGGGCCCTGGAAGACGTTCCATTATTCTGAAGAAAAAAATATTTCAATAACAGACACTTTGGAGGATGCGCTTGAGGTTTCCGAAATAATAATGATAATTAAAAAAAAAGTTAAAAAATCACCACTACCATGATGTTATGAATTATCGTGTAAAGAAAGAACAAACTAAGATCGAAAAACAGTGAAGAACCAGTGGTGTTACTCAAAAGGAATGGAATAAGGACAATGCACAATTACAGTATTGCACTTGCAATTTATTACGAAAAAATCCCATCTCTAAAATGACATAACTAAGTATGCAAATCGGTGCTTTACAACATGCTCAATATGCAAACCATTATGTTCAACAACTCACTCCATTCTGAAAATCGCACTTTTCTACCACTTTCCACCATAGAGAGAGTCACCATGGATATTCTAAATATGGCAGCAACTACTGTTTTTCAAATTGGACACAGTTGTCAAACGTTCCCAGTAAACATCGTCTTTCAAAAATCCTCATAACCAGAAGTGGCGGCGGGAGATCGGGCATTTGCAAAGTCTGTGCTGTTGGGAAACATTGGCTAATCACATGTGCATCTTGTTCACCTCAACAATTGTAGGGCTGGGATTGTGATATGCAGTGAGGCTCTATCTTGCATGAATATGGTTTTTGTAGGCGGTCTCGTTGCTGGAGAATAGGAATTACATAGGCATACCTGTTAACTTTTATGAATTTTTCGTAATTTTTACGAAAATGCGTTTGTCTTTACGATTTTACGATTGCAATCCATTTTTTACGATTTTTTTCCTTTTTCAAGTGTTTTTAGTGATTTTTGTCGAAATTTTAGAATTTTTCGCCAATTCAGCGATTTTTACCAATTGCATCGTGTTTTACCGCCAACTACCGACTACTTCGAATCCAGTAACCTGCGGTTTCTCCCAACACGCCGCTTAACCAGCCAATCCAATGCGCTGAACGTTTCTCCCACTCTTTTCTTTGCGCGCCAGGTTATTTTTTTCGCATTCGCTTCAGAGCAAGGAAATTATCAGCAAGCATGCATTTTTCGCGTTTGCTGTTTTACCAGCAAGGCAATTTATCGGACTCAGCGAGCATATTTATTTTTTGTTGTTGTTGTTGTTTGTTTGTTTGTTTGCAATTCGTGCTACGAATTTTCTTAATACGTCGTTGTTACGAAATGAAGTTCAAAAAAACCGTATTCTCAATATTTTCAGCCTGCCTACAAAGCCGAATTTCCAACAATTAAAGAATCCTTCAAAGGAAATAACTATGCATTTTGCAATGTGTGCGTGTGTGACTTCATAATAAGTCACGGTGGAAAAAGTGACATTGTGAAGCATGTTAAGTCTAAAAGGCATGAAGTTAATGCTTCGGCTTCGACAACGTCAAAGAAAGTGGATGAATTTTTTTCAAATTCGGCTACGAATTCGGATGCCGATGTTATTTTGGCAGAGTGTTTGTTTACTGCATTCCTCATCGAAAACAACATGCCGCTAAGCGCTGCCGATCACGCCGGTCAACTTTTCAGACGGATGTTTCCTGACTCCAAGATTGCTCAGAAATATTCTTGTGCTCTGCACTCCAGAATTCAGCATTTTCGGTGTCAATCGATTTCAGCAACAACAGCGATTGGAAGCTTTACCCCATTGTTGTCACATATTTCTGTGATGTTTCCGATGAAATGAAAACTCATCTTTTGCGTCTTCCATTGTTAAATGGAGACGCTACGGGGGAAAATATTGCCTCCTTGGTAATTAACGAGTTGAAACAACTTCCAATATCAAACTGCATTTCATTTAGTGCAGATAATGCTCATGTCATGGTTGGTGACAAAAAGGGTGTAGCCTCTTTCTCAAAAAAGAACAAAAGGAATTAATTGTTATTGGATGCCCATGCCACTTAATTAATTTGGCAGCAGAAAAAGCTGCAGCTGCTTTACCATTAAATATTGACCAGCTTCTGATTGATGTGTTTTTCTATCTGGAAAAAAGTGTAAAAAGGAAAGAAAACCTAAAGAATTTCCAAGAACTGTGCTCTGGTGAAATGAGAAAAATTCTGAAACATGTATGCACGAGATGGTTATCCTTAGGCAGAGCGCTAGGAAGGTTTATTGAACAGTGGGATGCATTGTTAAAATATTTTCACGAAGAGACCAAAACGAAACCACAGATCCCATCAAATTTGGTGGCATATAAAATTCCGAAAACCAACTTTGCTTCTAATCAAAATGCTTTAAAAGGGAAAAGCCAACACACAGAATCAAACCCTTTAAAAAGAAAATGTTTAGAAGATTCCTCAAAGGTCAACTTTGTTAAAGAAGTTGAAGGGGAGAAGAAATAGTCTTCTATTAGCCGGGAGGAAAGGATTTTCTATCTTCTTTCCTCGGATTTGAACAAAGCATATTGTAGTTTTGTGTTAAGTACCATTAAGATTTTTGAAAGTGTTAAATACCCTTCTACAATCAGCTTCGCCAAAATCTGCTCCTGCTGTATCCAAATTCTTAATGATCTTTTTGAAAGAACTTTATACCTAAGTATTGTAAAGCCGTCCGTTGTGATGAAAACATGTGTTGTTGATTCGTCTTGCCTATAATAGTTTGGCAAATCAAACGGATGACAATGATCTTATAATTGGAAAAAGAAATCAAACCAAAGGGAGCTTGTAAATTCTTTGAAAGATCATGAGAAAAAAAAGAATTTTTTCAATGTGTTAGAAAGTACTTTTCCTCAGCCTGTGATTATATTGTAAGGAAGATTCTATTGCAAAATGGAAGTTCTTTTAAATGCTGAAGTGGCAAATTTGAAACAAATTGAAAATTCATCTTTTGGAAAGATTCGTTTTTTTTATTGATAAATTTCCATTTTTGTTAACAATTAAAGAAAATGAATGCCATAATGATGCTTTAGATGAACTACAGAACCAATTTTCTGCTGCACAGTTTGAAGACTTTGCCAGTTCTGGAGAAGATAGACTTGATATCCTTGTTGGTACCTTAAAAAGAATAAAAAGATCTGACGGAACACCAAAATGTGATAGACTAGCAAGAGTTTTATGTGCTATTCTCGTAGTTCCACACAGTAATGCTGAGTGCGAGAGACTCTTCAGTGTTGTGAAGAAAAATAAAACTATGTTTCGTTCTTCAATTTCACCAAAAACTCTAGAAAACATTTTAATTGCTAAATGTTATGAGGAAACTTGTTATGACAGGAAATTTTCCAAAGAATTTTTGGCCAAAGCCAAAAAATGCACTCTAAATTCATTGCAATAATTTTTTTGTGTAACATTAAGTTCTTGTTTTATGTTTCCTAATATATTTTTTAGTTACTACTTAATTGAGATTTACTAATGTAAGTACAATTTTCTTTTTGTATAAATTGTTATTTTTTTAATATCAAAGCATGATATTAATTCTTCGTGTTCTTCTGAATTTTGGAGAAATCTTCTGAATTTGGGGAAGAAATCTTCTGAATTTGGGGAAGAAATCTTCTGAATTTTTATCTTTAGAGGTTGGCAGTTATGTATAGGCATTTCTAAGCATTTGAAATTTATAATTCATGGATGTTTTATTTTCCACATTTATTTAACACAATTTTTTTTTGTAAGCATACAAAATTTCACAGTTATAAAATAATAATGAAACTTGCATTTGCTATATTTTAAATTTATTGAAATTATAACTGGGAAAACAGTCTTGAAGTTGCAGTGTGAACAGTTTTGTCTTATCTACCATGTCTGCCGTTGTCCTGTCTTATTAAAAAGTTGTATTTTTTAATATAGCTGCACATCTTGCAGGTATTTTTATACGATTTTATTACACCTGCTATGTATGTTTGCGGTTCTGGTACAAAATTTGTAATCGATTTTTCGATAACTTCTATTTGTCCAAATGTTGGAAGTTTTCTTTCATTTTTGTGTCATATTAAAAGTTTTGTTATTCTGATGATGGAAAAATTATTATGTAACTGCACTAAAAAGTGCAGTTACATAATAACATCTCGTGCGTTACCATGAAGATGGCAATGACTTTCTGTTTCGGATTGTGACGGGGGATGAAACGTGGGTTCACCATTTCACGCCAGAAACAAGCCGTTCAACGCTTCTTCCATATGCAAAGCCCAGATTTTTTCCTGGAGGGTTTTTGAAGCTTATCAAGTGATATGACAAATGTCTCAATGTACTTGGTACCTATGTGGAAAAATAAAGGTATGTCATCTTTAATGTCTCATTCTATTTTTTGACTTTCATACACAACTCTGACCACAGTCGACAGGGGAAACTTATTTTTCAACTTACCCTCGCATCTTCAGTTCCATAAAGTAAGTATAAATAATTTGACAGATTGTGACAGGCATACAAAATAATTTTAATTAAGAGTGATAGCACATTACTGATGTTGGTTAAATAAGTTCCTAATAGATGTTGTTTATATTATTTCTTTGTAGCACTGAATAACTTTTAATTTTTCTTTTCCAGTGAATGATGAAGAATTAGTTAAAGAAGTTATTGTAATCTTTAATAAAGTTCTGATACTTTTCTCTGATAGCTTCAGTGAGGAATGTGAATATATCTGAAATTCAGTCCATGTGAATTACAAACCCTAACTCATTTTTGAATGTTCTCTGT